GGATTAAAGCCGGTCTGGCACAGTCAGCCCCAGCACAGCTGACTGCCTAATTGAGCGGGGGTGTTGTCTCCTCCAGGGAGGCACCCCTTCACAAGGGATAACATATTCACTGGGTGATCTGCTCAGCAGCTGACAAGAACGCTCAGGCCAAGCTCCGTTTATCAACCTGAGAGCACGTAGCTCCCTGCACAACACCCTCTGAGAGCTGGCTCATCAAACTCCCATCATCGATTGTAGCGGCCAGAGCTGCAAAAGCTGCTACCAGAAGCCTGCTAGGCTCCTGGTGGACAGGATCCCAAAAAAACCCCCATGATGTAAATCATTGCTTTGGGCGAAAGCAACCTCCTGCCAAGGGCAGATCTCAGTGGGAAAACCTATCTCCACGAAGTATTAAAATCAGTTCAGTGGAATCAGATCACATGCTCGGTTTGAGGTTTTTACTTTTCTGTTTTCTGAAACCACATGTGTACTTGCAGAAAGCGAGCCACAAAATCTGAAAGCGTTTGCAGTAGCAATGCACAGGGTTTGTGGGTGTTGTCCATATTGTCATGAAGCCTGAGTGGTAGGGACTATGTCCTCAAAACTTCTGGGGTTCTGTACCTCTGGGTAACTGTTCACGGATCCTCTGTCTCTGTGTTCATTTTGTTCCCTGCTTTACCCACATTTGGGCCTTGGATATCTCTGGAAGATAGAGACTTTTATCTTCACAGTCTTGCAGGAGTTCATTATTTTATCATCTTTCCTCTTGTTGATCCTTCTCTTCTGTTCCATAGACACCATCCACCCTTTTCTCACAATAAGCCTAACTAGTTAGTATAATCTGTGTAAATTAAGAGCTCTTTCTTTTCCTGTGTCTGTAATTAGCCCGAAGTATACTGCTCCCATTTGATAAATGGAGTAAAGCTTTGCCTGATTTTTCCAGAAATATCAGTTGGCTTTATTAAAAAAAAAAAAAAAAAACCCAAAAACCCCCCCCCAAAAAAAAACCCAAAACAAAACCAATAAAAAAACCCCAAAACAACAGCTGAAACCACAACACAAAGAATATCATCATAGAAAAGCACTTGACATTTTTGGCAAACACATACAAAGCTGGAGTTGGGGGAAATAAAATCTGAGACAAAAACATAATCCTTTTTCACAGATTTTTTTTCAAAAAAAACTCCATGCCCATACTTTTCATGGAAAACATAATAACATACTGACTTTTGATACAGCTGCTCAAAGGCACGTTTGATCTGGTATTTCAACCAGCATCTCTGCTTCAGCTGCCTTGCTTTCCTGGGGAAGAGTGGGGTCCCTCTGCGGCGTGCCCCGGAGCGGGGCGGGCTGTCGGGGCAGCAGCGCAGGCGCCCGGCGCCGTGGGGCTGGTGGGAAGCCTGCCAGCCCCAGCCTGTCCTCTGATCCCCCGTCTTGTGACCGCAGTCACAAGGCCAACCCTTCGCGGCTGGCTGTGCAGGCTAACTTAATTTCCAGTCAGAGTAATTAGGGAACAACTGCCCGTTTATTAGGGGCTGGCTGGTGGGGTTTCTGGGTTGCCTTGTGTTATTGAGTGCCCCCAGGTTTAGGTAGTTTGCTTTTCTTTTTGCTTCTGAAAGAGGTGTAGAGGTGCCCTGAGTTTGGAACTAAGAATGAGGTTTGTCAACAAGTTGGAAACCGGTGTTTTAAGTGCAGTCGTGCTTATTATATAGCTGGTACAATGCAACTAGTATACTTTCCTTTCCACATCCTCTACCAAAAGTAATAGGAAATAAGGCTGGCATTGGCTTATATAGGATTTTATGTCAAGAAACCATTAAATACGGATATCAAGGCAGATGTGTGAACTAATATTTAAATACTTATCTGTTCCTTGATGTACTTGATGTTTTCATAGAATCATAGAATCATATGGGGTTGGAAGGGACCTCTGGAGATCATCTAGTCCAACCCCCCCACTGGAGTGAGTCCACCTAGAGCACATTGCACAGGATCTTGTCCAGGCGGGTTTTGAATGTCTCCAGAGAAGGGGACTCCACCACCTCTCTGGGCAGCCTGTTCCAGTGCTCCACCACTCTCACAGTAATGAGTTCCTCCTCATGTTTAGGTGGAACTTCTTATATTCAAGTTTGTGCCCATTTCCTCTTGTCCTGTCTCTGGGCTCCAGCGAGAAAAGACCAGCCCCCTCCTTCTGACTCCCTCCCTTTATGTATTTATAAGCATTATAAGCATTGAAAGCTAGTAAATCAGTTTTCCTGCAAACAAAACATGCACATGGTATATGTGTGCATATACATGTATACATGTTTATACATATATTTTATACACAGTCACTCTCTCTCTCCTACCTGCAATCCCCACAAAAGAACACAAATAGTTGTTGATGTCACCAATTTATTGAGAAGCTCTATTGTATTTTTTAAATTGGAAACCTAAACCCAAGCATAATTCGAGGCTAGTCTAGTAAGCTAACAGTACCAGTACTGCATCAGAAGAAAGACCATGTGTATCCTGGTGCTGTTCCCAAAGGGCCAAGAGAGATGATTAAGGACAGAGTAAGAGGAGGGACTTGGTACTACCCAGTGCAACAACAGGGCCTCTAAAACTATGACATTTTAGGGACATACTGAAAGAAAGTTTGCACTGTGGTGGGTATACACACTCCACAGATCTGTGTTTCTGTGCTGGCAGTTAAACTAAATATCTGCATACTGCAGCATGTCAGCCATTCATTCAGTGCCCTGGCGCCAGTGTAACAGCACCTGAGTTGCTTTCATTTAAGCATGATTTCACAGCAAAATCTGCACGTATTCCCAGCTGCTGGCCCCCCTCATTACTGGGGTTTTCTTTTCCCCTGAGTTTGCACCAGAAGCACCTGTTAGTAGAGGAACTAGCTGTGTGTCACCGGCCTGACAAACAACTGCAGTTTGCCTGCCTCTTGATGATAAGGCTCCCAGTCTGTGGGCTGTCGGGTGGCTGGTAACTACAAAGAGATCAATATCTGCCCTGTATAAGCAACCCATGCAAACCTCAAATGCAGATTAAGAAAGCAGCGACTTTCTTCAGTGTGAACTGGGGATTTTTGTTGCCGGAGTCCCACTTTTACCATCTGCACCTATGCTGTTTTCCTAAGTACTTGCATGTTCCCTGCTACATCTGGCACAACCTTGCAACCAGACTGCTCTACAGAGTCCTCCTTAAGCTTAGTTTAAAGTTCCCCTTCCCAGTGCGATACCAGTTCAGACCATTTCCCCAGAGCTCTCTGACACAAACCGCAGGGTGTCTGTGGTGGGGAGGCACTACCTATGAAACCCTTGCGATACTGGGCCACGTCTTCCCTCTGTGGTCAGCTGCCAGGCTGGCCGAGGGCATCCAGGCAGCTGAGAAAACGAGACGTAGCATTTTAAATGTTTTTTTTTAAGAGTCCAGAGACAATATTTAGCGGTTGGAGCGGTGAGAAAGGGGATGCACCGCGAGGTGCCATCAATGCCTCTGGGAGGAGGAGAGACGGTGTGGGCTGGTGCTCACAACAAAGCTGGTTTGATTCTGCTTCTGCCTACAGAAGAAAGTGATGCCTGATATTACTCCTCAGGTGCTCATCAGCATGACACAAAAATGAAAATATGTGGAAATCATATCATCAATGCTTATAAATGCTTTCATGGTCAGTGCACAGCAGACTTTTTTTCATAGGAGTGCACAATTGCATTCTCCAGTACAAAGTTGGCTATTACCTAGATCCTCTCTTTTTTTTTTTTTTTTTTTTTTTTTTTTTTTTTTTCTCCCTGTATTAAAAAAAAAAAAAAAAAAAAAAAAAAAAAAAAAAAAAGTTCTAGGAAAAATATTAAACCCATCCTCTCTTTTTTTTTTTTTTTTTTTTGGCTTTCTCTTCATTCTCCAGGATTTAAGTGCTGCTTGTGTTTTGCTGTTGATAGCAGACATTGGGAAAGCACGTGACAAGGAACAGAATAAACAAGTACACGCTGTACTTGCCGATCCTGGGCAGCTGTCACTGTTACAGCTTTAAAGAGTGCCAGATAAAGGCCTGCAGAAAGAGCCCTTTGATACCTGAAGCGGTACTGAAATCACATCCGGTACTGAAATCACATCCACACCCCCCTCAGATAACAATACCTAAGGGTATACACCTGTCCTGTATACTTTTCTGTCTGCCTTTATTCAGCCTGCTTCTTCTTTATGAATAATAGAACATAGTTGTAAGTTTGAAAATAACCGTTGGAGTTTCTTGGCAGGAGTATTTTTAGCACCTACCAATGTCCTAATGTAATTCACAGTGTTCTTAATAAAGTCTCATACCAGCATGGTTGGGAGAATGGCGCAGGGGTGAAAATGAGCAGATGGGGGCAGGGGTTGCTTATGGCACCACAGTTGCCAAAATAAATGTCCATACAATGAAGTAAGAAGGTTATAAAGGCATCAGGATGTCTAATACTTAAGGTAACCTAAACCCCAGTTTTCACACCCTTATCGCTTAACATAGCCACATATTTCTTTTCATTAATAATTTTTGCTCTTGTTGGTCAATGAATGCCTGCTAGATTCAGAACGGATTCCCCATCTCCTTTGGCAGTGTCATGTCTGAGATGTGGCACTAGGACACCAACACAATGGGCGTGCTGGTGGTGGCCAGGAATAGCAGTGTAGCATGTTACGAGAGGGCAAGCTTCAAACTGAAATGAGAACCTTTTAAGTTAAAGGAAATTGAGATGTGACAATGGCTTTGTGGCAATAGCTCATCCTCTGTTGCAGAGAAGAGTGGATGAACAGGGAGTATGCACAATTTGAGTGTCACATCCGTGGTGATGGTTTATTGTAATTTGTGCAGTTGGAAGTTACTTGTCTGTAAATAACACAAGGCATTTTCCTGTTCTTGTGAGAATCATAATACCCTGGCAACATGGCAGCCTTTTCATCTTTATTAATTACACAAGACACATATCATTTAGAGCTTAAAAACACTCTTTCAGACAGCACAAGACTTTTGGTCTTCTCGGGGCTGACAAGATAAAAAGCACTTGCAACAAAACCTCTAGCAGAAAATCCAGATAATGGCATTGTGAATGTTGATGTGAAAATCCTGTCTCAAACAATGCCAACCAAGTACTATCAGACACAAAGCTTCAGATCAAATGGATGAACTGATATAATCCCCTTCTTTTTGTTAATACTATATAAATTAAGTCACTTTTGTTAAATAATCAGGCCTCTGTCTTTACATTTGCATGGCATAAATCAGAGTTAAAGGATTTTTACACTTGTCTGCATGGTGGAATTAAATCTTTGTTTTTCCCATCAACCATTCTCACTTTTTTCTTGTTCTCATGAAGTGGGATTTTCACTGAGAGATGGATGTTAATTGCTAGAAACCACCATCTTGAAAGGTATGGATTTTCCTGCAGACTGAAGGCAGAGGAGCAAGGTCTGATGTGGAAAAGCCCTTAGCTGCTCTTCTGATGTTTCTGTACACAAGCGAGGTATTCTTGCACATCCTCTGGAGAACCGAGGATAAGAGGGACTCTCTGGTGAATATTCTCAGGTTTGACATCCAGCACTGCCTCAGTCCCTGTAGTCGCCATCCCACCTGCCTGCTCAATGATGAAAGCCATGGGGTTGCACTCATAGAGAAGTCGGAGCTAGAAAGAAAGAGGGAACACATGATTGCCTTTGGGGGAAAATACAAAAAAAAAAAAAGACTTACCAGAAACTGATCTTCCTTTCATGATTTTTGAAAATTATGTACCGAACTCCAATTGACCTTAACAGCAATGTCTCTCTATTGGCCCCTCCTTCTTCCCCCTCCTTTCCTCACCTCCCTTCACACCTGCTGTTTCAAGGATGAGTGTCCTGACCCTGCCTCCAAGCATCACCACCATTTTTTCCGACCTGACGTACCAATGTGCAGCATCAGCGACGCTGTGTTTTGGCAAAAATGTCAAAAGTAGCATCATCAGCAAAACAGTTAAGCCAGCTAAGTTAACAGTACCAGGAAGGAAAAGCCAAAATAGCTTCTCATGTACAGGATTTATCTGTTACCTCAAAGTTTGGGGTAACAGTGTTGTGTTTGGTCAGGATATTTTGGAGTTTGAAACTTGATGTTCCCAGTTTCAAATTTCAGAATTTGATTGTGGACTTCAGAATTGTGAATAGATATTACTGGCCTGAACTCATCCAGATAGTGACTCTTCTCAGAAGTAACTGCAGTAATTACTAAAAGCAAATTATCCTTTTTGGTGCGGAGGCACTTTTGGTTTGGCCCTGGCATTTGTTCACATCTTTAAAAATGTTACCTTTAAAAATGTGCCTGTATTCTGGTGGAATGGAAACTTATTTGGGGCATGGGGCAAAAGTTTCTGTGTTTAAAAGGATATATGTGATAGCTGGTTAATTTTAAAAAGACCTTATATTTCTGAAGGTTTAGTTGAATCTTCTGTGATTCAGTCTGTGAAGTGCTTATGTACAACAATGTTAGTACATACTATGTTTAAAGGGGTTTTCATATATGCAAGGGAGAATTTTTTCTGGGGAAAGGGAAGCACAACAGAATGCAACCATATACAGAGTCAAAGAAATGGGTCAGAAACAGGACTTTACTACCCATCGTTCCTTTATCATGCTGTTTGCAATAAAACCATGATATATCACAAACTTAAATAGCGCATATTACCTTCATTCATACCTGTGAAGCCTACTGAAGTGCTACTTCTGGTACAAGAACTCCATCTGACAAGCAACATAGGACCAATAGCCCTAGTGCATGGCTAGCTTTTGGAAGATCATGAGCCAGAAAACAGGAGTGGTACCACTGTGGAACCACATGTTGAGTTTCTTGTTGCTTAACTCTGACTACGTGGCTTAAGGAAAGCAGTTTTCCTTCAAGTAGTAGGGCAATTGCACTTAGGGGTCTTCACATGGGCTTTGTCTTCAGGTAGGTTTAACACTTTTCACCTAGTATAGAACTGTAAGCTTCAAGTTCATAAAAAATGTGATCTATCATATCTGATTTGAAAAGATGATCTATTTGTTGACTGGTTCTGTGCTGATCATTGAGTATTTTGTTCTCATCCTTTCTTTAACTTAAAGAAGGAGGTGTATATGCAAGGGTTTATATGCATGTAATTTACATTTGCTCAAAAGTCTTTGGATTCGTTCCAGTGACATTTGCTTCCTCTCAGGTCTCTACCCAAATGCATAGACTGTCTTTCAGGGGAATGATGATCAGGGCACCTGCCACAAAGGCATTATCTCTGCAACAAGAAGAAGTTTATGTGAAAAGAACTCTACACCTGCACTCTGAGAGGGAAAGAAGAAATATTTTATTTGTAATGATATTACAGTTTTGCTTCTTTCATTACTCTCCCCACTGTGGTAGTGCAAGCCAGATCAGTCTAACAGTCAGTGTAGGCTAATTTGTGCAGCTATCTTGATTTCTATAAAATTATATATATATATTTTGTATGTTTGTTACTTTGTTCCATTTCTCATCCTTTTTCCACAACAATGGTTTAACAGAGATTTCAAAACAAAAAGTTTAATTTGAAGAGGCCAGTCAGCAAACCTATTTCTCCCACACACAGCAAATTCCTTTTTTGTCTCTTGCTCTGATACACAAACAGATACACACTGTTCAGTAGATGAAGGGGGGCTGGGTTTTTGTTGCATTGTGGGTTTGGGTTTTTTTGTTTTTCTTTTTCTGGGATGCTGTATCAAATATTAAATCATATTTGCCTGGACAAAAATGCAGACATTTTCTGTTGTGTATTCTGAAGAGAGTTCTTTTCCTGTTCTCCTCATTTCCTAGACCGCTTGGACCTGCTGTTATTATGATAAATATGTGCTCACCAGGATGGACCCAGTAGTCCTCCAGTAAAAAACTGTAGGTGTCAGGGTGTTCTGATACCAGTATGGGAGATGGGGCAGGTAGTTTTACGAGAGCAAATTCCTGCGCATACCAGCAAAGGACAATAACCATTTGAATAGAAGGTTTTAAGTATGGTATTGACCAGGAAAGAAGAAGGTCTTGAAGTCAGAACACCATGACTAATCTATTAAGCATTGAGCCAATCACTTCCTAAGCGTGACCTGCAGGTTACTGGTTGTTCCTGGTTATAACAGATCTCTTTTAAAACATATTTGTTTAAAACTTTGATAATAGGGGTATCTGATGCTGTAGAAGAGAAGTTGGGGTTGTCTGCGGTCCACAGTCCAGCAGATTCAGGGAGTTAGTGCATTGCATTGCAATGCACTGCATTAAGTCACAGTGGGCTTTGTACAGATGTCCACATAGGAAGTCATCTTCTCCTAGAATACTGATCTCAGCACACATGAAACTCACCTTCCAATGTCAGAGTCTTTCAGGTCAGTTAGCAGAAGCCTGTGTTTGCAGGCCTGGTGATAGTAAGCTCAGTACCCTTTGGAAACGGTAGGTAGGCATACTTGGTTGTCTAACATTGGTCTTCCTCAGGCCTGTGTTGTATCTGCCAGCTCTGCATAGATGTCTCAATGGGTTTCTACAGCACTGAAATATTTCTCTTCAGAAAAATTAATAAATCCCTTGGTTGAGGTGAAAATCATTTTACTAGTTTGTAATATAAAGGCACACAGGAAAATTTCTGGCCTAAATTGGCAATTACCTTAATTTCTTCTGTAAATTCAATTGCTGACCATCATATCCATCAATAATTTTCTACAAGGATGGAAAATTATTATCTGTTTATATATATAAACTATTCCTTTACATCTCCAGGAAAACCAGAGGTATCAGGCTGACTAATTTCACCAGAGAGTAAGTCAGTCAAATGATTTGGCTTACCTTTCCTTTAGGACTCTTCTGATTTGCAGGATACATGAAGATTCCACCATACATCAATGTACGGTGAACATCAGCTACCATGGAGCCCACATACCTGGCACCATAGGGGGAACTGCCATCCTGAAAAACATAAAGCATTATATCTACCAGTCTAGACAGCTGGTAGCATGGCAAAATGTTATTTTGTTATGAAATAGGAATTAAATCAGTGTCTGCTTATGGACACTGTAAATGCATAAAGCAGCCTGAAGCTTAGCCTTTTGTAAGACACAGTGATTTTCTATGGGGTTTGAAAATAAGCACTTCAAAGAGTTGCATGCATGATATGGAAACCAAGGTGCCTGTATTTGAGTGTGCAATTTGGTATCAATCCCCAGCCCATGAAAAAGCAAAAACTGCAAACAGTGAGTGAAAGCTTCTTCACATTATCAGAACAAGGTACCCGTTTGATTGCTAGTTCTTCACTGGTTCCTAAGCAGGGTATGAGGAGGTAAGGTAGGAAATACAGAAGACAAGCAATGTGTCTTGCTCAAATAGAAGTTACATTCACCAAGTGAGCTTCACCTGGGAAAAGCTATGCATAACCATATTTTTATGCAGGGGAGACACACCATGCAAATGTAAACTGAAGGAAATCTTCTTGATAGTTTCTATGCCAAGAAGTCTGCTTGTCTTTTGATATCTCTCACTCTGTCTTCAATGAAGCAGATGAATTTTTGCCTCCCCAGAAAATTACTAGAGACTGGAACTTCATGGACATTTAATAATATATATTTGCGTATTGCAATGCTAAAAGTTTGAAAATATCTCTGCATGTTTTTTTTCTGTCTGGCTCACTTGTCTAATAAAAGATCTTAGTGCTTTCTACAAAGTTCGCCTTGTGCTGATACTAGATCCAGAGAAATACATAGAGAATTTGTTCAGCAATGCCAGCTCCAAGACTGTCAGACATCACAAGGTAGTCACCCTTCCCAGCAAAATCATGAGGTTAGCTGGGAGAAAAAAATCTACAAGTGGGAAGAAAAAACTACAGATAGAAAAAAACATAATTCAATTTTGAAATCACTTTTTTAAACCGTTCTATGCAACTATAAAGTTTGGATATTTACTCTCTTTTAATATGGGAATAGATTCTCATGAAATTACAAAATATATTGCAACACAATACTAGGAAGTGGAGTCCAAAGCCACTAAATATAAGACTTGGATATTTGATATAGCTGGTAGTAAAAATGGAACAGAGAACAGTTCCATCCTAAGTAATATGCCTTGTTCAGCTGTACTTGTGCTGGTTTCCATGATTCTTTCTTCTTGTACATATTAGGAGAAGTATTGGAAATTCAGAGGAAAACAATACAAAGTGTGAAAGACATGATGGGTAAGACACACTCTAGAGCTTTTATACTTAGTCTTGTTTAAACATGGCCCTATTATTTCCAGGCACACCTGAACAATACTTTCAATTATTTCATCCCTATTTTTCACAGCTTAACATCAAATAACTACATATTTAGACTTCATATTATAGCTTCTCCATCTCACAGGTGTTTACACCTGTGACTTTGCAACTACAAAGGTCTGGGGTCAGAAAAAACACCTTAAAAGGTATTAAAGAGAGACCAACACAAGTTTCCAGTTTAAGAAAAGACATTTTTCAGTCAAAGATGTGATTACAGTCTGAAATCTCCTTTAAAAATACATTCAAAGGAAGAGCTCTCTTTTATGGTTTCAGAAGGTGGTAAAGCAAGTCTTAAGAAAAGTTTACTAAACATTAAGAAAAGTCATAGCATATTGTTCATAAGCAGGCCCTGAAACAGGCTTCTAAAGACAGCTTTACCAACCAATTTACCAACCATGAGCTGCACAGCTGAGCCACCTGTGGATCTGAGCCATCAGATACGTTTGGGATGTGCTGGATTTCCTGTTTGTGTGCAGGTCATTTACACAGCTTATGTGTACATGGGCAGTGTTATGTGAAGTTGATGAGATGCCACTGGCAATTTTAGTTGCTTATTACCGTGGTAGATGTTCATCTTCTAGAAACACAACGCTGACACTGTGCTGAGAAAAATACAAAAGAGAAATTCCTCCATTCTGCTACACTCATCACTTGAACCACAAACTGAAATAAAATTTTCATTTCCCTTAACATCCAGCTATCTGCTTGTGAGGAATAAATAGTCCTTTTAGTTACTAGAAATGTTACTTCTTGTTTCTCTAGTTTGGTCACTCATGCGTTTTCTTATGAGACAAGAAAGTTAATAGGTGTTGCATCCATGTTGGCATATCGCCCAGGCTTTCTTCTCAAACAAAATAACAGAGCACTAATGCTCGTGAAATTTATCCCCAGTTGTGAGTAATGCCAAGCTGTGTGTTTGCCCAGTCAGCGCTTCACACTGGTTCAGCTAATGAAAGAGTTGGAGAACCTTGTTCCCTTGTTCCCTTGGTCAGCATCCATGACATTTGAGTAAACTTGTGATTGCTCTTAGTTTCACCCTTTCCTCTGCTTTTTTTTTTTTTTTTCCTTAATCCAGAGGAACAAAGAGGGCTCATAACAGATTTTTTCTGTAATTTTTTTCTTAACAATGTGATGGAAGTAACTTTCTCACTTCTTTATTCTACAGATTTCTCACAGCTGTGTTCCTCCACAGGAGTACAAGACCATGTTTTCTTGCATAACTGTGATGACAAGGAGAGTGGGGGAAAAAAGTCTTTTCTACAATCTACAGCAACAACACCCTGCATCCCTTGCTCCACACAGTTATGGTGAAAAAAGCACAATGTTTTTATTAGGTTTTTTTATGTCACTTGAGCACTGCTGGTCTGGCTAGCAGAAGAGCACTTCATGATGAAATGTGGTGTTGATGATAAGTTTTTGATGGCATTGCTAAGGCAAATCCTTACTAAGGAAATCTCCAAGCTGCAATGAAACTCAACTTCGCTTGTGGTCGTAGGAAGCAAAGGAAGCAAAGATAAAAATAGTTGGCACAGCAAAGTACAACAATGTCCATGGCATGTTTCTGAGTTCTACCATCAGTGAACAGTGCTAGCTAGAGGCTCGGTCCTGTAGGCAATACTGGAGGAAGAATCTACTTTAGGAAGTTAGAGTGAAATTTGGGCAGAAACAGTTCCTAGCCCCAGAAGTGCCTGTTATACTGTGCAGACTGGAGTAAAAATGTTGCATTACAGGCAGTCTTGCAAATAGCAGCTTGCTCTTCAAGCTGGTTAAGCATCAGGAGATTTTGCGGTGCTTAACAAAGAAAAAGCTTTACTCTGGAGTCTCGTTCCAGAAGAGATGTGTCTAGATGAGTATTTCCCACTAAGATCTTCGTGGCAATGGGAGGAGATTTAGAGTTGACCAGCAGAACAGCAGCACTTTTCCATTGCTTTTAATTCAGAATTGATGCCTTACGTGGTCCACAAGAAACCTTGAGGGCCAACATGGCTTGGTAGTCCAAACTGTCTGATCCAGGATGCTGTTGTTAGATAGTAAGGGAAAATCCCTCCTCTCCACAGACAGTTGATTTGTAATGTTTGATTGCCAATGACAGTGATAGAGAACATGGGACATGCTGTGGACAACATTTTACTTTGTTTGCTTGTTTTATTTTTAACTTTTCAGTTTTCTGTGGCAATGCTAGAGAGTCATCTGAGCAGCATATTGACCAAGAACCACACGAAGAAGCAAACAGAGGTAGGATCAAAAGAAAAAAAGGGGCAACGAAGTGACAAGTAGCTGAAATTAATACCTAGTCTCCTGACTTCTAGTGGCCAGAAGGCCATAGGGTGATTGTGGGCCACCTGAGTAAGAAGGGGTCCTCCACACCCCGCATGTCAGTTCCTTCTCAAGTCACAGGCCGAGTATCTCCAGCAGATACCTCCCAGTGCCCTTCTGTGTGCTGAAGAGAAGATGCAGACCAAAGCTCTACCTGGGTGCTGCAGGGAAGGTAGGAGCAGCACCAATGTGGCTGTAGCAGGGAAGGCTTACAGAGGATTCCAGGAAGCAGGTTTCATGCTACGGAAGAGTGGCAACACCTTCTTTCTCTTGTCCTTCCACAATGCAAGTATAATACCCTTTCTAAATCAAGGAGCTGAGTTATGCTGTTTCCGAAACACAGGATCATCACAACCTTTCAGATGGCCAGGGCACTTCCTTGTGCTTTGTGGGCATAACATTGACGCTTTGGCCCTCCTCACTCAGACAACCCTGTGTCTCAGAGCAGCAAAGCGATGTGCTTGCTCAGCACCCTTGAGGAGGCTTCCACTGCCCCAAAAAATCCCTGTACTACTCTGGTGCTTGCTTTAGTAACAAAACCACCTTTTGCCAACTTCTGCTGCTTTAGTGCAAGAACACTTTCAACAGCTTTTCCTCACATGAAGCACAGATTTGAGATAACATAGTGTTTGCAAATGAGGTTTTTCCTGTGTGTCCTAATCTAAGCATTTAGAGAATCACATGACAGAGCTGTCCTTTCAAGTAGCTTCACTTGATAGAGAGCTTCCAGCTTTCCACATTGAGAGCTTGTGTTGTATCCTTCTGGAATTGACTAGAGGCCGTACAGAGCTGTATGACTCCACAAGGAAGTTCATCAGATATGGGATAGTCTCAGCTTTTTCTCTCTGAGGCATACTGCATAATCCTCTTAACAACAGAACACAGTGAAATTGTGCCTCACACCTTTTTTTTCCTTCAACCTGTGGTTTGGTTGGTGCTCCATATGATGCAAGTAGACAGTGCAAGAGTGATTCTGCATTTCTCAGATGCAAGTGATGCCACCCAGATCCCTGCGAGCACCTTCTGGGCCATATATGGAATCTAGCCCCAAATGTGCAGCTGCACATATGATTGAGCTGCGTATTCAGAAAATCTAGAAAACAAGGGTACTTTCCCCATTTTGCCAGCAGAGTTTCAGAGTTTTGTTGAAAAAAAAAAAAAAGATTCTTCATGTACAGCACATTTTCCTCCACACAGTGACAAGCAATCTATGAATTAACTTTCTAAGCTCTAAGTTATAAAATATGTCAGGGCACCAGAAACCAACAGATTGGATACATATCCAAAATGAACATGATGGCACAAAAGGGTTACACAGGCTGAATTCAGCAAGGCCTTCAAATCCTTTCCCATTGGCCAGGACTGCATGGAAGGCAGTGCTTGGCAGCACATTAGGTACAGCGCTGATATTTTCTTACCTCAGGGAATTTCTTCTTTTGTAGATATTCTGTCATTGCAGGTTCGAAATACTTTGCATAACCTTCATTGAGACTGTATACCTTCCCTTTCTTCTTGATTTTAACATCTCTGTCCACCAAAATAAATTCACCGAGACCCTACAGAGGAACAAGGTAGATCAGCTATTGGCAAGCAGCAAAATATTTTGTTGACTTTCCGTAACAATTGTCACGCTAGAGATGGCAGAAATGCTAGCACAGCTTGGTCCTTTCAACACCAGTCTTGTGTATAACTTCACAGTATTTCAAACAGAGCAGAAAGCCCAGAATCTGTGTTAAACTCATGAAAACTTCTCACACTAGTAGTATGAACAAAAAGCAATTTGATTATAATAGCATATCAAATGAATACCAGTTATTCCTGAAAGCACATGGATCATGAATCTCTGTCCACAAATCATTAGGTTACAAATTAAGAAATTACACTGCCTTTTGATTTTTGAACTCTTCTTGCCTGTCTTGTCTAAATGTCACAAAGTGAATGTAGTCAGCTCCCTCCAGGTGCTGCTGTCTGCAGTTTGAGTGCAACTTCCACCTTCTCTTCCTCTGCCTTTAACCAGAGCTGACCAGCTCCCAGTTCTTCCCACTTGGAATAAGCCTACTAATAAAAGTTAAAAGAGTTTTGATAATAATGCATCCTTCTATGAAAAAGAATCCCATGTTATTGCCCACATCTAACACGGGTTTCTCAAATGAGTGATGTCCTTCTTGTGTTCCTCCAGGAACACTTGTTGGGCTCCTGAGCTGGGCACCAGGCGGTGGCACATGTCTGATTGTACACGTGTGGTTGTGCATTTGCAAACTGTTGGGTACACAGCTTAAACAAGGAAGTTGCACTCGGGAAATCAGACATCACTTTGCATGAATTATATCAACAAATGGTCCTTGCCCCAGACTAAACACTGAACATGCTGAGGTTCATCTACAGACAGAAAGAGCAGGAACATGAAAAAAGCAGAAGTCCTTTAAATGGAGGCAAAGATACTGTTCAGAGAAAATTTTCTTAAGTGCTTGTGCAAATCAGAAGTTTGGTTTGAACGAACATGGTTTCAAATGCTATTTAACCTAAGCTCTCTTTCACTGAGTATTAAAAACAAACAGAGGTATTGCAAGCGACATACTCATGTGTTATTAGACCCTTGTAAACTGGAGGTGGGATGCTCCAGGAGGTGGGTGAAAAAAGAATCACGCAGATTGCTTGGATTACAGAGACAAGGAGTAAGAAAAGTGAGTAAACTCAAGCACAGAAAGCTCTGGCAATGTGATTAACATCATGACCGTACCGGATCCAGCATGAAGCAGTCCACCCCTTGCCCTGTGGAGAGGGCGACCAGCGTAGCACTGCCGTACAAGGCATAGCCTGCAGCAACAATATTGCGCCCGGGCTGCAAAGCATCTTTTTCAGAGGGCTCGTCATCTGTTTCCTGAGGAAAAATTACCATTGGACTGAAGGTTAAACTCTTATAAGAAAGAAAAAAAAGTAACACTTCAATAATAACGTGGGGCAGATTTCCTTTTAGTGTCTGTGGAGACCTTTGTAACAACCAGAACAGAGATTGTTCCCCCTGGTTCACGGCAACTTTGGCACAGGTACATGTGCATGCTGAGGCAGGACCTTCAGAGTTTGTTTCATTCACATCACGCCATCAATACGATACCTGCAATAAAGCTGATACCTTGGCGTTACAGCCCAGTTTATTAATTCAAGATCATCAGAAATCTGAGGCAGAAGAGAGGTACTAATTTTCTGGCAATGTAAACATAATCTGGCTTACTGACACCCCTCAGAGTGAATAACTGAGAGGTGAATGCAACAATTGACATTACAGACAAATTTCTTCCAGTAGTGCAGAATAGAAGAGTAGGTGGTGCAACATGATGGAACTAAGATTGTGCGTTGTTCTCTGCTGGTGAAGAGTTGGGTAACTGAAGCGATATAATAAGGGATGGAGCACCTCTCCTATGAAGACAGGCTGAGGGAGCTGGGATTGTTCAGCCTGGAGAAGAGAAGGCTCCGGGGAGACCTTATAGTGGCCTTTCAATACATGAAGGCTGCCTATAGAAGAGCTGGAGAAGGACTCTTTGCCAGGAAGGGTAATGATAGGACAAGGGGAAACAGTTTTAAATTGGAAGAAAAAAGATTCGGATTAGATCTCAGGAAGAAATTTTTTGCTATGAGGGTGGTGAGACACTGGAACAGGTTGCCCAGAGAAGCTGTGGATGCCCCATCCCTGGAAGTGTTCAAGGCCAGGCTGGATGGGGCCTTGAGCAACCTGCTCTAGTGGGAGGTGTCCCTGCCCATGGCAGGGGGGTTGAAACTTGATGATCTTCAAGGTCCCTTCCAACCCTAACCATTCTATGATTCTATGATAAATGTTTCTATTATATATAAAATAATAAATCCATTTGCATATGTAATGTGTGTCTGTGTGCAAGTTCTGCGTGTATAATCCTACATAGACCATTCACATTTACTTCAGCCTTTTAATCAATTTCCAACACTCATATTTTGATTTGGCACTTTGAGTGTCACAGAACCACAATCACCCACTCAGACCTGGTGCAAATATTTCCCCCAGAGCTCTGGGGGTCGTGCCTCAGCCACAGCTCACAAGAGTTTGGTGAGGTGAAAGAGAACAGCCAAGAGGGACTAGAAACCCGGGACTAGAAAGTGGGTAGGGAATGTCTGATCTTCACGTTTCTTTCAAAGCTTGTCAGTTATGGCAGATCTTCTGTGGATGTTTTGGTGGCGGTCTACAAGGAATTAAAATGAGAACCCTCTCAGAAATTCTCTTAAGGCCCTGGTTTAGCACTTTGTTGATCCAAACTCAGACAATTTCTCAGTGATTACACAGTCCCAATTAGGCTGAGTAGCAGCTAAATAGAAGTAGCAGGCCTAGCCCGAAATATATGGTTAAAAAAATTAAACTCAGTGGAGATCATTTTGTGTTGGAAATAAAATATTTTATGAATATTGAGTAAATTCTTTAAAAAATCAACAATGAATTTCACAGATATTTTGCAAAGGAGAACACCCCTCCTCCAACAGAAAAATCCTCTGTTGTGTCCAATGGCAAGGAGCTCTCAGGGTGCCATGGTCTTAGCAAGGTGGAAGGCTAAGGGTACCCTGGGGATCCCATTCATTATTGTATGCCAATACTTAGAGGACAACTAGATGTGGAACAGTAAAATTACATATTTCATGGCATATGAAGACAGTAATTCCACATAAAAATATTTTAATTTTCAGCTGATTTTTACTTTTGTTACTTGTACCTACAGAGTTTTTAGCTGTATTCTTATAAAAAATCCTTATTGTTACTGTTATAATTATTATTTTGCCAAATTCTTCTGTGGAAAAAAAATCCAGTTCCTAATGAACTCTTCATGGCAGCTGAAACATAACATGTACAAATACATCTGGTACACACTCCCTTGGAATTACTCTATATGGGGCTCCTTTTTCATGGAGACTATAATGCATATAATGAAGACCAGTTAAAATCCCATTTGTATATTCCATTAGTGTGGAATATTCACTATTAGTGGCTAATCTTTTGCTAAACAATCTTTTATATAACACACTATTATCCCCTACATAGCATCTTCTCTTTCAAAATTATATATCCCCATGCACATATATCTCAATATCAAAAACGATGTTTGTCTGTAGTAAACTAATTATTTGCAGCATTAAATGCAGAATTATACATTTACTCTACTAGTTGCAAACATATGATTCTCCTAGCTTCTTGTATGCTTTTGTCATTAAATAAAAATGAATTTTGTATAAATACAGTAAAGAGGTTTGTTTTATAGAACATGGTATACGTAGCTGCTGGTTACATATGATATTGATTTAGAATGTATTTTTCTGAAATAAGATTTTCAGTCCTATCTCTTAAATGCATTTTCTGTGTTTATATGGCTGAGAAACCACATATTTGTTAACTATTCTGAAAAAACAGAGGAACTCCTCCTTCAGAAGATGGACAGTTGGACAGAATTCACTTGGTCTTCCATCCTTATTCACAACTGAGTTTCCAAGAGCAAGCTTCCAAAAGAAAGAAAAAAAAAGCTCAGTCTCAAACAAACATTTCACAGAGCTTTTCAGCAAGTAGAAAAGCTAGAGATCAGCTGATATTTCACTGTTAGGACTGCAAGAGTTTTGTCCTGCCAAGTACTGTGCACTGTGAAACAAACTAGGGAATTAAGCCCAATATTTTCGCTTTTTTCCAGTGCACAGACAGATACCCTATCTATTATATTTTGACGACAAGATGGTGGTAGTGAAATCTCTTTAGAGGTCTTTATGCAAAGTACGGAAATAGGCAGAGGGACTGCAGAGAAGCTCTGAGGAGTGTTGACACAGTTATGTTGGCTCATTGGTGTTAAGCAGATGAAACAAGGTCACCAGAGTCTGGCTGTAGGGGTACCCTCAAGTGATACCACGTTTGAAATTTTTTGCATGTATGATTTGCCAACATCACATGAGGGAGTCCTCATCAGCACTGGAAGTAGCTCTGGAAGGACTTGGTTTGCAGGTCTCTGTATCACATGTTTCCTGAGTATCCTTTGTGTTTGTCCTGAATTTCTTACACCTTCTCCCTGAGGGACCGCATGAAGGGAGTGACACTGTCCTTATGACAAGGAAGGGGGGGCAAATAAAATACATCTGAGGATCTGGGCAATATTACAAATTAAAATCAGAATGAAACAGAGCAGCAGAGTTTCATAGCATATATGTGGACTATGAACAGAGAGCTGTAGATTCATCTCAGTCGTATGAAAAACTGGGAAGAATCCAAGCAAAAAATGGTTATTTTTTGTCACCACATCCTGACAATCCAGCAGCTGAGAGTCCCTTAGCGGCAGGGACTGTCAAGGTCCTATGGCTTGCTCTGGCTTCTGCTAATTCAGCAAGGCTACTCCTTCAGCCCCTCTTTTCTGACATTTCTGGTCTGTTTAACAATACCACCCATGCTTCTAAAAGTAAAAGCTGTGTGGAAAAGTAAATAAACCTTAGATGGCATTTATTTCCCAGTGTCTTTCTCTAAGAAACTGATGTTGCGCTCTTCTTGCAGGAGGCAATGGTACCACTATGGTGGTGGCTCAGGATTGGGAGTTGCTAGAGAACCATTTTCAGTTTTGAATAAAATGAGGCAACTATTTTAGTTCTAGAGGGTATGTCTTTGGAAATAAAGTTCAAGTGCTGACATTGTGAGAAAATCAGTCACGCAATCATCTGAGAACTGGAAAGTACCAAATATCAGACAGGTGCTAAGGATCATCCTTTGGAATTACAATTGTTCCAGCTCTTTCAAAATTATGTTCATGAACTTTAAAAGGCTTGAAATCATATTTTCTTTCTTAAGTGATTCCCATCTACTGGGATAAACTTCTCACTTTTATTCCTTTCATACTACCCTTCTGTAACAATGAATAAACCACTTATTATTATTTCATTATTTCAAAGGGTTTGAAGTTAATAGCGTTGCTATGAAATTGCCTTGTCTGAGAGGAAGGCGCATTAATTAACATGTACTTTGGAATTAGCATTTTAATGAAAAGAATTATGCAAGTGAAAGTCTGTAAATTTAACATTGTTTCTAACTTTCCAGGGAAAATTGGTAAGTTGACAGACTGCTTCATCCTAACAGCAGGGGTTTCATTTGAATATGAAGCATTTGTACAAAGCAATGTAATTTTCTTTTTATGAAGCACTGAAGGATATCCACCCACATGTAAACCAGTTTATTGGAAACAGTATTTACATCAAATATGTTAATATATATTAGAACAACAACTATGGAAGGATTGGAAAATTAATTGAAAACTTGAGCATTTGGGAAAAATGCGAGTTCTTTGGGAAATGTTTCAATCGTGAAGCAGAATCCTGGGGAAGACTGAGCAGTCCATAGAATCATAGAATCATATAGGGTTGGAAGGGACCTCTGGAGATCATCAAGTCCAACCCCCCCACCGGAGTGGGTCCACCTAGAGCAGGTTGCACAGGATCTTGTCCAGGCGGGTTTTGAATGTCTCCAGAGAAGGAGACTCCACCACCTCTCTGGGCAGCCTGTTCCAGTGCTCCACCACTCTCACAGTAAAGAAGTTCCTCCTCATGTTTAGGTGGAACTTCTTATACCCACGTTTGTGGCCATTTCCTCCTGTCCTGTCACTGGGCACCATTGAGAAAAGACCAGCCCCATCCTCCTGATTCCCTCCCTTCAAGTATTTATGAGCATTGATCAGATCCCCACTCAGCTTTCTCTTCTCTAGACTGAAAAGACCCAAGTTGCTCAGCCTCTCTTCATAAGAGAGATGCCCCAGGCCCTTATTCATCTTTGTGGCCCTTTGCTGTACCCTCTCCAGCAGTTCCCTGTCCTTCTTGAACTGAGGGGCCCAGAACTGGACTCAGTATTCCAGATGGGGCCTCACCAGGGCAGAGCAGAGGGGCAGGATGACCTCCCTCGACCTGCTGGGAACGCTCTTCTTGATGCATCCCAGGATGCCATTGGCCTTCTTGGACACAAGGGTACATTGCTGGCTCATGGTCATCCTGTTGCCATAGTCTTTACACACATTACAGGTAAATTAAATCTAATCTCTATTTCAACTTGTTAAGCTGTATTAATAACACTGAGCTCTTGCCTTTATAGTTATGCAGAGTAATGTAACACACCACTTCTAAAGAGAAAGCTAATGTTTAATATTTGTAAGACGGTACTTACCACCTTTAAGAATAGTGGACAAGGCAGTTATTGCCTACCGTAAATATCAGGAGATGCTGTAGTCTCTTAGGCTTTCTTTAGGGAGATAAATGTAAAGAGTTGGGACCCCTTTGCTTGCCATAAGAGTCTCTGGCACGGATTGCATCCATACAGCTAAGCTCTCTTCCTTGCAAAAAGCAAGGTGGTAGACTGTACTGGAGGCAGTCCCTGGGCTGCTCTTTCCACAAGCCGTACCCAGGCATCATCTCAGTGTTGTCTAGCCTGGGCTGTACTTGTGATGGGGGTTTGCACTAACCATTAGCAGAGTGTACAGCCATACGCCAGCACTTGGCTTGTGCCATCACCCTCTTGAGATTGTGCTGTAACTATTTGGTTTACTAGTAGATGCATATTCTCAACAGTGAAGATTAGTGTTACTGCCTACCAGAAAAGTAAAAAACAAGGGCTGTCCAGTTGAAAATTATGACTTAGAGGATGAGAGTGGACTTCAAAAGCATATGTTTGAAGTGTGGTGTCTGAGTTTGCAAAGACCTCCTTGCAGTCACAAGTGCTGTAAATGTTACTTCACAATAGTGATGGCTGAGGGTCTCCCATAGTCATATGACTGTGAGCTTAGGGTTTAGGAAAAACACCAACTGCTGGGAGATTAGCAATCAAATCACAAGACTTGGCATGACTCTAACTATTAGTGTTTGTTAATTGGCTGTGTAGTTGCTGTTCTGTGCAGCCCTATGGGAGCAGACGTGCTGGCAAGGCACTGGTAGCTCTAGGTGATTGCCTCCTTCAGTCTCAGGTGGTCTCCACTGTTGGCATGCTTATAAACCCCCATCCATAACAGGCATATTAGCTGGCACTGGAAGGCCACCACACTGCTGACCATGAAATGCTCCAGGCAGTGACCCTGGGCACCACAACACCCCTCAGCTCTCCTGCAGCGAGTGAAGCATCACTGAAGGAGTTAACTAGCTGCCTGATGGTGACAGGGCTTTATTTAAGTGCCTGTGTGTCTGGAGGATGGAAGGGCTGCCACCTAACTAGTGCATGAGGATGACTGTCCCCTTTCTGGGAATTCAGGCAGCATTTTGGCACACGTGAATCCCAAGTGTTACCTCTTCTCCTCTTTCAGAGGCTCTGTTGATCCCAAAGACTCTTAAAGTACATAGGGAAGAAACTAAGCAAGTTGATATACGCAAGACATTTTGCTTTCAACAAGTGAATTGTGCCATGTGTATTTTATTCATCCTCTTACCTTTTTGTAGATAGCAAATATTGTTCCTATCGGTGCCAAGCAGTCAATATTGGATGAGCCGTCAAGGGGGTCAAAGCACACCACATATTTACCCTAAAACAGAAATGGCAAGGGAAGCATGAAGCTATCTGTAGTCTTGCACTGTCACTTCTTTTTACGTGACAAAACCTGGGGTTTTGTGACTGCGTTTAACCCTCCAAGCACTCCTGAGAGAGCTTGCCAGAGAAGGTGGCACTGTTGACCCAGGTAGCCCTGCAACACAACACCCACTCCCTGCAGGGCCTGCCAGGGAAATAGGAGAGGGCACGTTTCTGCTCAGAAAAATCTGATGATAGAGAGGAGCAGTCCTCTGCTGCCACGCAGTGCAAGAAATTGCTTGAAAGCAAAATGAGTGACTCATTCTGGAAGCAAGCATCTTCCTCAAGTAAATACATTTTGTTTTGTTACATTTTTTTTCTGGATGAAAGGGTTTGCCCATGATGTGAGGTTTGACAGCAAGAAGGCAGAAAGAAATCTCGGGGAGAAGGTTGGTCACATCAGCCTGAGCGGTGTCTCGCTGCAATAGGAACCCCTCGAGGGGGAAGCCTGATGGAGTAGTCAGGTGTTTCCTCTGAGCGTGTAACGTAAAACCCAGTTTTGCCAGCCTCTCATCTCATTTTGTCCTGCCTAAATATTAATGTAATCCAAACCCATTACACCGGCGGTCAGGGAATGTAATAGTACCCTTACACCTGGGATCTGGGGTGTATTAACAAGCTCCAAAATACCTATTTCCCTGCTCCCCCCGCCCCCCAACTTTAATAATCATTTCACCCTCCACAGCTCCGTTGAAACCGTGCCATCCGCCACAGTTATTAATCAAAACAATGCAGTAATGTTGCAAATGTTCTGAATTCCCCCGGGGAAAGGTTGATTTTGGGGTTATGCCCAGGTTGCATACTTGAAACAAGAGTGCCACCTGCTGCTGCCTGAGCCCATAACCCCCCTGAAGGAAGGAGCTGCACCAACCCGCTTGTCTTTTGGGGTGATGATGGCCTCCTTGTTCTCCTCCGTGACCAGGACACAGGTGCTGTAGGAGGACTGGAGCATATTAATCACCAGGGAGTTGGATAATACGTCCAGCTTCTTCACTTCGTCACCGGTCACATTCACAGTGCCAGCTATACCAAACCTACAGAAAAGTAAAAATATCAGGAAACCTGAGGGAGGCCAGTGTTGCAGGTTTTTAGGAAAAAAACACTCTAGGAGGACTCCTTCCTCTCATCTTCCCACACCTCTAGCTTTTGGATTATACTGCTAAGGTGCATTAGCAGATGGCTGCTGCTGCTAGAAAATAACAGCACAAATGAGAAAGAGAAAGGGCGATGGCATCATTTTGGGGCCTTACCTATGTCTTTTTGCTTGGATGTTCTCCAGGCCAGGAGCAGAGCCCACAGCCATGCCAGTGGATACCAGGCTTCCCTAGCAGCCCCACAGAGCATCTGGCAGCAGCTTTGAGGGAGAAAAAGGGGCATTCAATATCTGCATTATTTTCTGCCACTCCATGATGGTTCTTTAACCCACATCCACTCAGTCCCCAGCCACCACAAAATCAAAAGTTTTAAAGACACCGCCAGATAATTCCCCATGCTGAACTGTATCTCAGGATCAAAGTCGGTTTTATTTGGTAATGCTTGGCTGAGATAGAATGATGCATCCATTCCCTATCCTGATTTTAGCAATATTCTAATGATGTAGTGTATAGTACTATACATTAGTACTATACTATTTCCAAGATTTCCATTTGAGGAAGCACGTGCATGGTCTGGGCATTTTAGAAGTAGAAGGAATGGTACAGGGAGTAGATATAGCATTTTTATTTGTTACGGAAAAAAAAAAAATAGTTGGGGGCAGGGTAGGTCTTTTATCTTACCCAAAGCTCAAAACTGCCAGATCTTTTCAGAAGTATTGAGTGTTTTGGACACTCTATTTTGGAATGCCAAGTTTGAGATACTGGAAAGGAACATAATTTTCAGGGCATTCTCTAGTTAGTAGGTTTTCAGGCACATTTCCAGCTCAACTCTACGGCTTGGAAAAAGTTCTGCTTTACTTTTTGAATAGCAAATTTGTTAAAAATTTGTGATAAACTCTTCAACATTAAAGAATTCACTTCATGGTCTCTTATTTGGAGGGGCTTGAAAAATCAGAGCTCTCTAACTTCACAAATGCAGATGGATGCAAGCCAGTCACTGTGGTTGAAAGTTTTCCGTGTGAATTTCTGAAATTTCGTGGTTAGTTGCAGTAATTTGAATGGTGCAAGTTATTCCTTTTTGTGTTTGCATACTTTATATATTTCTGGTTCAGCACCTGAAACTTTTGTTTATATAAAGAGACATTTGCTCCTTAACATAATGGATGTTTTCCTTCTGAAGGGAAGATTCATCTAGCATAGTAGCCATGTGTCCTTGAGCTAGATGGCTATTCCACTTCTAGTATGTCAAACAGAGGTTCTTGCCACTTATTAGGTGCTTCAAAGATTGCATATTGAAAGATAAAAATGAAATACAAGCAACTGTTCCTCTAAGTCAGGGAGGCAAAACAGCTCAGCTTCACCTACTAAGTACAGAGACAAAGTACAGTTTAACAGTTAATGCATAGAAGCCTGACACTGCTGTAAACTTTGAATACATCTCATGTCCTCTCTACTTATTATGGTCCATGCCTGTAAAGTGAGGGGGATAATATTGAGACACTGAATTAATGATTTGCAAAGATCATTGAGGACTTTGACCAAATAGTCAACAGAATTGCAAAAAAAAAAAAGGTCTGAGTCCTACATTTTGGTGTTTCCATGCAAAAAAACAAACAAAATCAACCAAACAAAACACATCAAAACCCCAAAAAACAAATTACAAATGCTGTATTTCTTTTACAAATATATTCCTTTTTTTTCTTTATGCATGTATGCATATGCACATACATAGGCATGTACAGAAAACATGTATTTCAATACATCACAAAACCTGTATACTTTCAAAGCAGAATTTTATTAGGATGTTCCAGTTCTTTGAACTGCTTCAGATAGATCACTGTTAAAAGAATGACACCCACGTCTATTTCACCTGGCTGTGTGAGAACAGCTTGGCTCATTCCAGGCTTTGCTAAGAGAATTCTTTATTCCATTTGCTAAACCACTAAACGCCATATTGTGGCGTGTGTGTTTCATATAGGACCTTTTAAGACTGCCCACCTGTAACCTCGATGCTGTGTAAGGAAGGAAGGGGAAACGCAATCGTGCATGGCAGCGAATGGCGTGTTTTGCAGGGCTGTTGCTTTAGAGCATTACTTACACTGCAGTCAGGCAGAACATCAGCTTCCCAACACAAGCCAAGCCCTGATTTGCACAGCTCAGCACCCTGTTTGGGTGTCAGCAGGAAATATCACAGCGTGATACTCTGCATTAAAAGTATCATGGTGCGATATTCAGCAAATTCACAGTAGGTTTAAAGGTAGATCAGCATCAACACATACAAGGGATAAGGAGGTCAGCAGTGCGTTGAAGTTCTGACTTAAATTTTTAGGGTAAAATATTACAGAACAGCAGTTAGTCTAAATGTCTATCTTGAGCTCAGTATTAAAATGAGCCCGAAAGAGGGATCTCCTGCTTTCTGCTCTTGATAATCCAGGCTCTGAACACATGCCTCCTCGGCTCAAAAAAACCCAACAACAACCTCAGCTCACTCGGCTGAAAAAAAGACACTTCCAACCTACTTATGAATCCCTGTCCTCTCCCCAGCCTTGCTGTGCAAGGAGCTGTCTGTCTACCTCCTCCTCCTCCCCATATTGCTAGGTAGGACTCACATGTGGGCAAGGCCTGCCTTTCTGACTGCGGAGGAAATGGCCTTTATGGCAGTCAGCATGGAGTTGAGCAGCTGTGTCAGCTCCCCTGTCGCTCCTTTCACGCGGCGTCCCTTCTCCATCACAAATCGTGTGAGAGTCAGCATATCCGTTTCGAAGGGGCTTTTGTCGGACATTTTTGCTGGGTACCAGAGTTCCTGCCTTTTCGGCTGGACGAGCCCGCTCGCTGGTTCCTTTGTAGATCCTGGGGTAGCTGTTTTATTTTGAGGCGAAGCTGTTGGCTGCGTTGCTGGTGGGAGTTTATGAAGATGTCTCTGAGACCATGTGATTGAGTGCCCAGAATAGCTGCACCCCAGGCTGGCTCCGCAGCTCCTCCGGGATACGGGAAAGGAGCCTGGGACAGGGCTACAGCTCAGCAACCACTGCTCCAGCTGCCCTTCCCACACACCGAACCTCGTGCTGTGCAGACCTAGTCACAGGCTGTGATTGCCCGTTAGGCTGCCTTTAATTTCACTGAATTTCACTGAATTTCACTGAATTTTAGAGTTGGAAGGGACCATAGAGATCATCTAGTCCAACTCCCCTGCTGAAGCAGGATTGCCTAGAGCTAGAGCATGTTACTCAGGACTGCATCCAGGCGGGGCTTGAAAATCTCCAAAGAAGGGGACTCCACGACCTCCCTGGGCAGCCTGTTCCAGGGCTCTGTCACCCTCACCGTGAAGAAGTTTCTCCTCATATTTGAGTGGAACCTCTTATGTTCCAACTTGTGCCCGTTGCCCCTCGTCCTCTCACTGGGAACCACTGAAAAGAGTCTGGCTCCCTCCTCCTTCAACCCTCCCTTGAGATACTTGTAGGCGTTGATAAGGTCTCCCCTCAGCCTTCTCTTCTCCAGACTAAAGAGTCCCAGCTCTCTCATGCAGAACTCCTGCTGGGTGCTCAGCTGGGAACTGCTTTCCAGCAGCTGCTGCTCAGCTGTAAGCACAGCAAAGACAAGGCAAAGCACAGGACATGCAAGGCAGCAGAGCACCCACCCCACCATCACTCTGGAAGGTGAAGGTCCCTTCCCGCATCGCCTCAGTCCCCGCTTGCTTATCCCCTGTTGGCCTTGCCCATAGAGGAAGGTTTAGAAGGTGTATGGCACACCCCAGGGCAATCCAGCGGAGACGCAGGGTGCATCTGGATGTGTATTTATTGAAGATGTTGTACTTTGCTGGTTGGTTGCTGCAATTCCATTTTAATGACTTCATTCCCAGTCTGGGCTACTTGTAATATTATAGGTTTTGCATGAATCGGAAGTATTGGTGAGCTGTGGCTTGTTTGGTTACAAAGTAATTATTTTCAAGAATTTACAAATGAAGTGTATCTGATTCAAGTCTGTCATGTCATAACTCATAAAATTAAATTTTACCTTGGCTTTGTTATTGTAGTGCACCGTGGAAATACAGCTACGTCCCAGTTTGCAATTACACTGCCAGTAACTCCTTACAAGCAATACACTCGGATGACATGAAGCTAATGTGAAGGTAGACAGAAATGCCAGTGCACTGCTCACATGCTATCTGAAACACTGGAATTACACATGTTAATTACAGCACTATCTTCCCGCTCAGATAAGGCAGTAAGAACAATTATATGTTGTAGCCTTCATTATACTCTGTTATTTTTAAGCAGAAGATGTGGAAAGCCCACAAGCAAAACAAGAAAATGAAGAGTTAAAGAAGAAATGTTTCATTGAGCTCCATTGCTATCACTCATTTAACCAAAATTACTGTACTAAAACCATGTCAGGAAAAAAAAGAAGTAGTCAGTAACAAAACTTTTTTTGTTAATAGGAACTGCAGCTCTAGGCAAAGAGTTTGGATTTCCCTCTGCATTCCATTTTTAATTGTGGGCATTTCTTTGGATTTTTTCCTAAAAGCGTCTCTTCACTTGTGAACAACACATTACTTGGAAAGTTGTAAAGGGATTTGAATGCTAAGGTTTTCTACTTTGAAATCAGCCTCAAGCAGAGGCCTCAGAGACTGACAGTACTCGACACCAGCTCAGTGCTGCTTGCATCCTGTGTGCTTAACCTTGGTGATGTTTTCCAAGTCTCATTCTTAAGAGGGGGAAGGACTGGTGAGCAGAGCTCCTCAGGGCGAGCAACAAGCAGGTTTTGCACTACGTCCTCCAAGGCAATGGTGGAAGAAGAAAGTGATCTCCAAGATTTCTTTTTCCCTTTTCTACCACTGTGATCTACTTAAAAGTATACAATACCATTCACATCATGGGACAAATATTCCAGAGCATTTTTTGCCAGGTTAGGACACTTTCTTTCTTTGAACATAATTTGAACAAAACCAACATAAAACATATTTAGGGAGTTCTGGGTAGCACATGGTGCTATTAATAAAAGAGGGGGATGAGTTTCACATTATACATGCAAATGGATCTGCTGTTTTAAAGTACGGCCTGCACATTATTTCGTCATTATGGCAGATGTCGGCCTGACCAGTACTAAAATGCTTTTAATGCAAAATCTCTCAGCTGTGTATCTAGGATACCACCAGGATACCAAATCAATTTAGCAAATAAGAAATGGGATGGAGGTTGACCTATGGGTTCTAACATTTGTCAAAACATCACGTGCAGGTCTTCTGTGCTGTTGGTTCCAAATGATCTTTTACACTGGTCAAAAAGGCAAAGTTCAGATCATTTTCTAACAGAAAGTTTGTTTTGGGGTTAGTGGTTTAAAGGCTGTTCTCAGAACTAATAAGTCCATTATTTGCCTCTTTCTTTTCCCTTTTTTTTTTTTAACTGAAAAGTCCCCAATGCTTTTTACAGGTATATGATACTTTTTAGTATGTATAAAGGACAATGCTTTGAGCTGCTACTCAAATAACAATCCTTCAATAAGAACTTAACTTACATTAATATGTAAAGAACACAAACTCTACACTAAAGCTTTCCAGAAATATTGCAGCCAACCATGGAGCAAGAAGAGAAATGAAAGAATAAAACTTGGGCAAAGGCACAAGACTGGGTTGCATGAAAACTTCATCCTGCTTTAATAAATGCTGTGATCCCACCAAATGAAAAAAAAATGAACGATTAAACGGAAAAATATAAGTATATAAATAATATATAAATCATTATAATTTAATGAAGGGTGGTGGAGGAGGGGGGAGAAATCAGATTATTTCAAAAATGTGTGATGATTCTTTGTAAGAACCACTCAGTAAGATGGGTTGGAACAGCATAGAAAGAATAAAAAATAAATATAAATAAGAATAAAATAAATAAACCTCCATTTCACATATTCATGGGAGACTTTTCCTCTAATATAAAGATTACACATGAGCTCTCAGTGATGATTCACACTTTCACTGGCATATGGGTTAGCCCTGCGCCTTAAAGGTGACACCTCTTCTAACTGACTTGAAACACTAGTTGCTTGGATGGCACCAGCTGAAATTGGAGCCAGAGACCTTTCCCCAAATGTCACAGTTCAACCTGTAAGCAGGGCAGTGTGTAGTTCTGCAAGGGGGGCTGACAGTGGATGTGGTGACAAACTGACCATCCCGCCCTGCATCGACGTGCAGGACAAACTCTGGGAACGGGGCTGTGGAGATTAGTGAATAGTTCTCCCTGCTGGTGGGGATGCCATTCAAATGTGGGCTTACATTTTACAGATAGAAAGAGAGGCCCAGTCTTCACAATGTGAAAAATGTTAACTATAAAATGTCAGCCTGCAGGCAAACCCAAAACACTGGAAACTGACCTAGCAGACACGGGCAGTATTGCATTTCCGTCTGTAACCTTCACCTGCTGCCAGTATGGTGTCTTAAAAATAGATATATGCAGCCCAGGGATTCCTGAAGGGGTTGAGGGCAGAAGACAGCCAAGGAATTACTACAACTAGATGAAAATGGCTGCTGTGGATACTGGCTGTCAAGTTGTGCCAACAGAATTGTGAGGCACTGTAGTCCAAACTGATACATGGAAAGCCAGAAAAAAAGCTGTAAGGGCTTCCAACTATCCTCTGCTTAGTGTATTAAAAGAGACAAAAATGCATCCAGCTATGGCTCTGAGGACAGGTTGAATTAAAAACTTAAGGATCCAAAAAAGTTGTGTATAACAACAGCCACGCACTTTCCTGTAGGAGCAGCATCCAGAAGGTCAGAGAGTTTTAGAGTCCTTCTCAGCATGCTATCTCCTGTATTTGGTTTAGTAGGCTGGGAGCCTTTTAAAGTGCTATGGAGTGTGTAAGGGAATGCTCAGGACAGGAATATGCAACTCCTTTGGGCAGTGTTTCAGTGTGTGAGGTAGACATCTCCAGCCACTCCTAGCACCTTCACTCCTCATCAAAACCAAGAGAGACTTGCTGTTTCTTTTGAAATCTCAAAGAAAAGAAAAAACAGATGCAAGGATAGCATTTTTTTTTTTTTCCTTTTACAAAAGTGAGAGCATGGCCACATCCCCCTGGTGGCTGCTCATGTGAGGAAGCAGCATTGGTCCTAGTACAAGAAAGAGCAGCCTGTGAAGAAAAGCCCAGGCCACTGGAGTCCCCCAGCACATGGCTGTCCCACTCACCGACATGAAGTCCTCTCCCAGGTCATGGCACAGTGCTCACAGATCAGGGGTGTAAACACTCTCCTTCCAAGCTGGCCCCCAGACTGGCAACAAGGGCACCTTGCTCAGGTCCGGGCCTTCTTCCGGAGAGAAATTAATGAAAAATTGGACAGCATGCCACATGGTCGCTTTTTGTGGGGTGTGTTATTTTGCAGGCAAAGACCAGGCAAAGCATGTAAGCCATGGTCTGCTTGTTTCCAAGAGCATACTTTGGCCTTCAGAAGAGCCAGATCCTGTGCTGGGCCAGACCCAGGCCCTCACAGCATGAAAAGTGAGCACCCAAACAGAACAAGAGCTCAGCGGAGATTTCCAGGCCTGTTCCCATCCTTTAAGGGCTCGGGTCCCTGAAAGCCCCATCTTCACTAACAAAGCCTCAGCAGAAACAGTATTTTTCAGCAGCAACTAGGCCATTCAGCCCCTGCCAGAAATGCCTTGTCCCCTATCGCTTTGGACAACAGATGCATATATACGCCCATCTGAGGTTTGCCAGTATGTCTCCAAATGCCCCAAAACCAACCTGTGTCAGAAGAAGTCTCCCCAGGTTTTTTTTTTGCGTGGGAGCCCTCACAGAGCATACCTTTGCACCATGGCCTCTAGGTTCCCCCAACTCTTCTTGTTTTACAAAAAGACC